TGAGTGGGTGAGTGGGTGGGTGAGTGAGTGGGTGGGTGGAGAATGGGCAGGCCCACTGCCCTGACCAGTGTGGACCTTCCTGGTGTGTTCTAGAAGCTGGTGGTGGGGCTGCTGCAAACCCAGTTCTAAACAAGTCCCCTCTCCCGGGACGCCCCTGGGATCTGAGCCCTGAGTCCTGTCCCTGGAGGCAGTGGGAGTTGCTGGTCAGGTCCTTGCTGTGAGCTCTGAGGCCAGACACTAGGACGGTTCCACCCAGGGATGCCAGGGAAGGGGCGGCTCCTGGTCCTTGGAAGCGCCCGTGGTCTAGATGTCGCTCTCTGGTCCCCTGCTGGAGTCCAAGGCTCCCAGTGGGGCCCACTTTCTGGCCCTGCCCTGAGCCTATGGAACACAAGCAGCGACTGCCCCTCTGGCTCGAGGGGACTTGTTGGTCCACATACTTTTCCACTTCCAGGGTCTCCAGGGGGGCCACAAAGTTGCTGGGCACATAGCCTTCTCTCCCTGTGACGAGTGACTTGGCCAACCACCAGTCTCCAGTTCTAAGGGGAGAAGGGAAGACAGAAGCATGATGAACCCCCATGGGCCTCCCTGAGCAGCTCCTGGTCCCCTCCCCCACAGCGTGACCCGCCCTCAGGAGGGTGGGGACTGGTGGAGGTGGACAGTCTGGAGAAAGGAGGAGCTTGCATGTCACTCGGTGGCTTTCCACTGTGTGGAGCACCTGACAGGCAGGAGCTCCCTGTGCAGGGAGGCGGCCCTGGGGTGGGCTCGGGAGCAGGGGTGGGATTTTGACAACAGAGCTAAAGGCCATGGGCAGAAACCACCTCACCAGAAAGACTTTGGAGAGGAAACGGGTCAAGTTTAAGAACATGCCCGGACAGGTGGGCTGTGCCGTGGAGAAGATGCTCCGGAGGCAGCCCTGAGGGCGAGGTGGGGACAGGGAGGCAGAGGGGCCGCAGGACTGACAGAGTGGGGACAGGGGAGCTTCCGGAAACTCACTCCTTCAAGACCTGCAGCTTCTCACCCTTCAGCATCTGCAAGTCCTGGTCATTCACAGCGGCGTAGTCATACAGGGCCACCACAAAATGCTCCTCTGGAAAGAACAAAGGAGAGATGGCCACCACGCAGGCCCTCAGGAGAGGGGAACTGGGAGAAGGTGTGTCGTGAGCCATCTTCTGGCTACCAAGCAGGGCAGGGGCAGGGCCAGTGCTAAAGAGAAAAGTCTCATCAGGTGGTCTGTCTGTCCAGGGACAGGCTGCCGTCACAGCCCGCCTGTCTTCCCGTCTGAGCTCTGCTGAGAAGCCCTGGGCTGGGATGAGGATTGGGGAGGGTGGGTGTGCAGCGGCCACCATTGCTGGCCATCAGCGGGCTGCAGGACCTAGTTTGGGAACCACCGTTGGCTGGTCCCCCATCCAGCCATATCCCCCCCTGCCCTCAGCCCCATAGTGTGAGAGCCTCCCCGCCCCCTTGTCCCCTTCCTTCTCCCCCTCCCAGCCTTATCCCAAAGTACCACATCTTGGAAGGTGGCAGCTGAGGCCTTCACCTCTCTACCCCGTTGGTACCCAAGCCCTAGTGGTGAGCTGGCTGGTGGCGCCCAGCCTGCCTGGCCCCAGCCCTCTCTGGAGGGCTGCTGACTTGCTGGGGGTCCCTAAAACAGATGTACGAGAGGCTGGGCTTGTGCAGGCCATCTTTCAATGATCACTGCTAGTGATGAAGGCTCCCTGCACACTTGGCCCAGGTCCCCCAGATGGCTCTCTGCCTCCCCAGGAGTAATGACTCAGCTCTGTCACTGATGAGTGGTGTGACCTTGGGCCAGTTGCCTCTCTCGGTGGGACAGAGGCATTGGAATGGATGACAGTCACCCCTGTGGTCTGGGGCTCAAGTCCTGGTGCACCAGGGGTCAGCACATTCACGGCCCCTGAGCTTCCTTCCTGGGGGTGGGGAGCTCCTGTCAGGAGATGAAGGATCACCCATCAGACAGGACAAGGGACACCAGGTGAGGATGCTGACTGGTTTAGGGACTCTGCTTGTGAGGGTGACAGGCTGAGATCCTGGAGGGAGGACCCTGGGTCACCCCTCGCTACCCCTCCCCTGGCTGTGTGCTGTAGGCYCCTGGCACTAGGTAAGCCAGGGAGAGAAGGGCCTGCTGGCCTGGCCGAGGTGGCCCTTCCTGGAGGCTGTTGGAAGCAGGTGGTGGGCCTGCTGGGAAAGCCGGTTCTGAACCGGGCCCTGTGCTGTGAGCCCGGGAGGTCTGGGCCTGGTCAGGGAAGGCTGTGCTCACTCCTTACGGCATGTGCTGCTCACCAGGGCGGAGTGGAATCTGGGAGAGGCACATGGTGTGGGCGATTAGAGGGTCTCCAGGGGGCGGCTTGAACATGGCTGAGAAGGTGCCCCCCACGTGGAATAGAACCCAGGCTAGGGGTGGGGGAGAAGTTGGCCTGGCTGTGGCCAGGTCTGGGGGTGCTCTCTGCACTCCTGTAACTCTTTTCTGTGCTCCTGTTTATATTCAGGAAGTCTGTTGTTTTATTCCCACAGGCCCGCACCCACTCAGGGTCTCTGCTTGGTTCCTGGGGAGACACTGGGGTGCATGACGTCATGGAGGGAGTCGCTGGCTCTCAGCTCCCCGGCATTCTGTTCTTCTCCACCCTGGAGGACCCATCCTACTGTCCCCTGATCTAACTCCAGAGCCCCAAGGCAGACGCCCCCTTCTTACCACGGTCGGGGTGCTCCTCGGGTGGTGGAGGGGTGAGGTGATTGAAGACCACCTTGGGCAGAAACACACACACTCCAAGTTAGTGCAGCTCCTGCTGCTGAACCCGGATGTCTCGAGAGGAAACTCTAGAGCATGTCAGCCAGACTACCATGGGGTCCGGGCCACCTTTGGAATTTCCATACATGCTGCTCCCCAGGTGCCTGCACCGCCCCTAGACAAGCCCCAGACCATCTGGCATCTGGCCCTGACCACAGTACACGTGCCCCATCTTTGAAGGGAGAAAAAAAAAATCAGTCACCAGGATTAAAATCCTGGTTCTATCATTTAAAGTTGTGAAGTGGTATTTGGTGACATGGAAAGATACTTAGAGAGTAGGTTCCCAAAAACTCAACAAACATTCTCATACACAGGTAGCCTGTGGGTCAGCTGTGGCACACGGATACCACAAAACACAAACGAGAGTGCTCCGAATAATGACAAGAATGGTAATACCTAGCACATTTTAAAATGTGGGGATCACCCTGGTGACCCATGATGGAGGATTGGACAAGCTGAAGTAGAGCCATGCAGTGGGATGAACGAGCTGCAGGGATACCTGTCAGCACAGGTGAACCGCGACAACGTAATGCAGAGCCCACCGCGCGTCMCAGAAGAACACGGGGCGTTGGATTCAGTTGGTGTAAAGTTCATGATGTGAAAAATGAACCTGGGTATTGTTTAGGGGAAATGCATACGTGGTAACAAAAAAGGAATGATAAACAGGTTTGGAATGCGGGGGTCTGGGGTGAAGAGGACAGGCTGGGTAGGTAGAGAGTCAGGGAATGAGTCACTTTTGATTTCTGAGGATGAGGATTTATTTCTTAGTATGCGAACACTTTTTTTTTCTGTGAGATTTTATTCTCTCAACCTGACGTAGGTGTTATAAATCTTACTTTTTAATTCCATACTTATTGGACAAAATTTTAAAGTGGTTTTGCAAAATAGTGGCACCATGTGGTTCCATTAAAAACTCGCTCATGGGCTGGGGATGTGGCTCAATCGGTAGCGAGCTCCCCTGGCATGCGTGCGGCCCGGGTTCGATCCTCAGCACCACATACCAACAGAGATGTTGTGTCCGCCAAGAACTAAAAAATAAATATTAAAAATTCTCTCTCTCTCTGTCTCTCCTCTCTCACTCTCTCTTAAAAAAAAAAAAAAAAAAAACTCGCTCACATGATAAAATGAATGCATAGGAAAAGGGTCTGGAGGCAGAACCTCCGAGGAGATGACTCTGGTATTTCTGGGAAGTGAAATGATGAGAAATCATCTTCATTTTGTTTCCCACAATCAATTATGTGGCTTGCTTTTTTTTTTTTTTTTTTTTTTTTTTTTGTACCAGAGATTGAACCCAGGGTTACTTAACCACTGAGCCACATCCCTGGCCTTATTTATTTATTTTAATTTGATTTTTTTAGTTATACATTACAGTAGAATGTACTTTGGCAAATTATACATACATAGAGTGTAACTTATTCTATTCAGGAACCAACTTCCTCAATAAGACTCCTAAAGTGTAAGAAGTAAAATCAGGAATCAATGAACGGGATGGTTATTAATCTGAAAAGCTTCACAGCAGAGGAAACAATCAAGAATGTGAACAGAGATCCTATAAATGGAAGAGAAATCTTCACCACCTGTACCTCAGATATGGCATGAATTTCCAGGATATAAACACTCAAAAGACAGCACCGTCATTCTCCAAAGTCCCCTGCTGTGTGCTGAGCCCTGTGCTGCACAGGGACACAGAGAGGATGCCCAGGTTCACCCACGGAATGGGGTCAGCAGTTCCTACACCTGACGGGTTCCTGTTAGATGAAATGATGACCACGTGAACATGCCCATGGTGGGCACCAAGCAGAACAGGGGTCCAGGCATGACTCTCCCGTACCCTAAACCAAAAGAGGCTCTGCGGTTGGGCAGCGGGGAGGTGTCAGTCATCCAAAATCACACCCCGGAGGGGCAGGTCCAGGGAGCCCTGGGTGCACTGGGCTCTCTTTCCCACTCCCTCCCCGGGGGGCTGGGCACTCACCAGGGGTGGCAGTGGTGGGGGGTCTYTGCTCTGGGTGCCGATCTTCAAGGGGCTCCAGCCCTTGCCCTTCTCAGTGACCTGCCTCTTGCTGCTGAGCAGACCCATCCTGTAGGGAGCACAGCAGATGGATTGTGAGACGTAGGTCCTCGGCACCTCTGCACAGAGGAGCCACCGCAACCAGCTTCAACCAGAAAGCTTGGCGGAGGTGGGGCTGCCAAGGCCTCAGAGTCAGAGAGAGTTAGGGGGGCCGGGTGAGCCAAGATCGCATCCATCTTCCTTCCTTCCTTCCTTTCTTTTCTTTTTTTTGGGGGGAGGTGGGGGTGCCCAGAGAAAAGAAATGACTGCATTGAGACAAAAAATGACCTGGCCTGGTGCCGTGGCCAGAAACTGCTGGGCTGGACCCTAGACCCTGGGACAGGAAGCTGGGCAGGGAGGCCACACTGGGTTCCAGGGGAGCCTTCCTACCTGTCCGGTGCCTGGGCTTTCGTCTTACTTTTGCCAGTGGGCAGGCTGTGTCACCAGGAAAGTCACAGTTCCCGGGGCCCRTGGGCTCCTTTGTAGATGCCAAAGCTTTGTTAGAGTGTTTCTACCCTCCTTTCCAGATCAGATCTCGGTGGCACACCCTACGTTTAGGCATTAGGCCAACTGCAGCTTCTCAGAAATATCAAGAATCTTCTTTACCCGGGCAGGGTGGCACACACCTGTCATCCCAGCAGCTCGGGAGGCTGAGGTAGGAGGATCAGGAGTTCAAAGCCAGCCTCAGCAACTAAGTGAGGGCCTAAGCAACTTAGTGAGGCCCTGTCTCTAAATAAAAAACAAAAAAAGGTCTGGGGATGTGGCTTAGTGGTTGATCGCCCCTGAATTCGATCCCCAATACACCCCTTCCCCCAAAATCTTCTTTAGAGGTGAGAAAAGCACAGTTAAGGCTATTCTTCAGAAAATAATCATAGTTTGGCAGTCAGGGGAAGACCAGAGACCATCCCCTCAACACCACCCACCGGTCACCACTGTGCGGCTGTGCTACTGCTCAGGGCCCGGGGGTGTTCAGTGTTCATAGGTTGTCTATGGCCCGTGCAGAACTGGCCCTGGAGCCCCCGTCTAACCCGAGACCACCACAGCCCCACATGCACATCTGGCCATCCACAGGATGTCCACTCTCAAGGGGAAGCCCCAAGTCACTACTCTTGCTGAGGGGCATGTGAGTGAATTCCTTCAGGCGAGGATACCGTATTCCATCCATTCTAAGACGCACCTTTTTCCCATTTCAACATCTCTGAAACCAGGAGGAGTCTTACAATCCTCGGTGCATTGTAGTATGATCACTAACAGCTTTTCCTGTTTTAGCAATACATGAAATAAATGCTAGCTCCCTAGAGTGGTGCCTTAGATTCAGTGAAATACACATCTCTCCTCAAACTCATCTTGAAAAAAGAAAAGACTATAATAATTTCGTATATAGAACAGAGCCACAGCAACTAACCACAGTCTGTTTTTTTGTTTGTTTGTTTTTTAGTATGTCTTGCCATAGAACACCTAAAGCTTTACATTTGTAAAGAAAACTACTTTTTATATTTAAAGGTACACCTAAAGCTTTACATTTGTAAAGAAAACTACTTTTTATATTTAAAGGTTCTTTATGTTAAGTCATATCAGCTTTACCACCAGATCACTCATGGTACAAAAATTACAAGCAACACTTCATCTTGCAGAGATTTTTTTTTCCAGAAGTTTGAATATGGGATTATGGGTTTGTATTAGGAACACCTACTGAATTTTAACAGGTCTTTGATTAGTATCTATCATACTTTGTTCTTCTTTGTTGACACAATGAATTTTGTTGGTAAATTTTCTGATAACAAAATATCTTTGCATTCCTGAATAAAAGCTGTGTGGTTATACTATGTTACCCTTTTGACAGGCAAATGGACCCTATTTGCTAGTATCTTCTTTAGAACCTACATTTCCAAGGGAGATTTGTATGTGGCATTAGCACTAAGGTGCAGCTGGCTTCATCGTATATTCTGGGGAGCTCTCTACCTGAGTAGCTTAGTTAGCATTGGGATTACCTGTTCTTTAAAGGCTGGGTAGGACATAGCCATTATATCACATGTTCCTGGGGCTTTCTCAAATGGTAGATCTTCACATGCATCTCTCATTTCCCGTACAGGAATTGGCTTGCTTTCCCTCCTCTTTGTGCCAGTTTGATGAGTTGTATGATTTATAGGAGACCTTCGATTTCTTCTACAGTTCTCAATTTGTTGCCATAAAGTTTTGTGTAGTRTTGTTTTTTATTTTAATTAATTTATTTTTTTGGCAGTGCTGGGATTGACCGCAGATTGCATGTGCTAGGCGAGCATGCTACGGCTGAGCCACATTCCCAGTCTTGGTAGCATTGTCTTGTAACTCTGGATTATGGCTTCTTTCTTGATCCTAATATAAATTGAATGTACTTTCTACTCTAATTAAAATTCCAATTGAATAAAATTATCTGGACATTAATACAATCAAATAAAGTTTTAATCTAGCTTAAAAATTATGAAAAAGAAGACTTGCCTAGCACTACAAAAAGCAAAACAGAACACTGCAAAAAATGGCATGAAATTGGAACGGAAATAGATATCTCATCAGTGGAATAGAATAAGAACCCTGCACACGAATTCTGAAAATAACACAGGAACTACATATATGAAGATAGTGCTATTTTAATTCAGTGAAGAATAGATGGTTTATTTTAGTTTATGGTACTGGGAAAATGACTATCTACCTAGAAGGAAACACAATCCTCCTCACACCATATTTAAAAATAGGTCTGGGAATGTAGCTCAGTGTTAGAGGCTTGCCTAGCATATGTAAGGCCCTGGGTTCCACCTTTAGCATCCAAAAACAAACAAACAAACAAAAAAAAACTGAGTGCACTTTAAAAAAATAATATGTTTTAAAAAAAGAAAAATTGAAAAATTGATTGATTGGTAGAAAATCATACATACAACCCAGAGTTTGGGGACAACTATTAACAAAGATAGGATAGCCAGAAGCTAAGAGAGAACAAAAAATACATTTATAAACATTGAAAGTATTTCATGACAAATGAAACCCATAAAGTCAGCAAATAAACAATAGGTTGGGGAAAAATTTGTGAAGCACAAGTTAGGGAAAGCCTTTTTTAAAAATAATTTTTAGATATTAATGAACCTTTATTTTATTCATTTATTTGTATGCAGTGCTGAGAATTGAACCCAGTACCTCACACATGCTAGGCAAATGCTCTACCACTGAGCCACAACCCCAAACAAAGGGAAGATTTTGTTTATAATGTATTCAGAGTTCATGAAAATTGACAGGAAGAATATGGTAACATCAATCCACTCAACAGAAAAACTCATGAAAATTGTAAATAGAAAGTTCATAAAGCTCACACCCAAATTGCTAAATGAACATAGGGAAATATCAAGGTTATTTACTAAATGGAAAACACAAATCAAGAGAACAATAAAATGTCACACTAGATGAATGAGACAGGTAAAGATAAACAACCAACCAAACAAACAAAATGATAATCCAATTGTTGATGGTAAAGTGAAGGAAAATTGTATTTGCACACATTTCAGGTAGAAAAGCATATATTCTAGGTATTATTATTTTGTTTGTTTCCCCCACTCATTTCCAGGGTGAAAGCTCTGTGAGTGCTGGGCTCTTTATTTTATTCATTGTTGACTCCAAATTGCTAAAGCAGTGCCTGCCACRGAGTCTGCACCTAACAAAATATTTATCAGGCAAATAAAATGTGAAATACTACTGACTTTTCAGAAAGCATTGATTGTTTGTTTTTCAGTGCTGAAGACCAAACCCAGGGCTTCTTGCCTGCTAGGTAAGCACTCTACTACTGAGCCATAGACTCCCAGCTGGAAAGAAATCTTTTAAATTCTGTTAAAATTAAAAAAAAAAAACACATCTTTGGATTTTCAGTTCCACTCTGGAATCTATCAGATGAATGTAACATCATTATACAGAAATATATGAGATATAAAAATGTTTTTGCAGCAATAGTTGCAGAGCAAAACAAACAAAAAACTCCCCCAAATCAATAATGTAACTGTTCATCAGTTAGGGAATTGTTGAGTTAATCTATACTCTAAACTTCTCTAGAATGTTATGCCACTATTATAAAGATTGTGCTGGATCTTTACCAAGGCCAAGTAAAATGTCCACAGCCTGCTGAACACAAGAAAGAAAGATACCCCACATTTGGAAGTATCCCAGAATGTGAAAAGAAACCCCTCCTTAGGCACGTGTGTGTGTGTGTGTGTGTGTGTGTGTGTGTGTGTGTGAGTGTGACATAGGGAGAGGTCTAGGAGGAGGAATGCAGAATTGCTGTTTTTTTTTTTTTTGGTTATTTTGATTATTGGCAGTGGCACTGGGAGCTGGGAAGATAGGCACAAAAGATAGAGATGAGAAGCCAACAATAAAAGCAAAATTTAAAAGTTGTTGGGGGTGGGGGGATGGGGTGGTGTGCTCATGCAAAGTAGGGCCCAACACAATAGTTCCTAAAATGTCAACATGGTTTATCTCAGGTTATAAGAGTTAGTGTGATAATTTAATATATTCCTTGAATACTCAAGTGGGAAGCATATTTTATTGTTACAAACAGAAAAATACAAAGAATGTGAATGATTTGTCCAGTAGCTGAGGGGCTTCTGGCCTGCAGTCAGGCCTCCCCCAGTCCTGGCAAGAGTGAGTGGCCCCCAGCTGTGTGGGCCTCAGGCCCTTCCTGACCTCTCAGCCTCCCTCAACACAGGGTCCACGGGCAGCTGCTCCCAGAGCTTGCCCTGGGCTTGGACACCTGCTTCTTCACCGAGTGACCAGCCCTGTTATCTTCCTCTGTCCAGTCAGCCCAATCACCACCAAGTTTAAACTTGGTCAAACACTGTGTCTAYTTAAACATCAAACATGAACATTTAAAAACAAGGCAGAAAGAAAAATTCCTAAAATCAAACAACCTATTACTTACACTTCTGTCCTTCGATGGCTTAGCAGAGTACTCCTGGCTTTTCCATGGCCTCTAGGATGACTTGGGATCTCTCCGAGCCTCTGCCCCAGTGGCTCTG